TTGATGAACCTTTCGTAATCAATAACTTTGCTACGCGATGTGACGACAGTGGCAACACCGCTGAGCATAGCTCAGAGAGATTCATGTAATATTCACATGAATAATAATATAACAGGTTCCCCTTTGATTGGACCAACCCCTCGAGCGACAAGGTATTTTACCGCTAGTGATTACGCAGTTATACCATCTGAAACTAACGCGAGCTTTACCAAAACAGCGCACATTGACACTGAATGAACTTGCAAAACAATTATTATTCTTAATTTTCTGACAGCGAGATTAGAGAGAGTGCATTTCTGAATGGCAAAGCCAGATGTGGTATCCGAAGGCAGCAAAAAAGTACATGACTCGTTAGGAGGAGCACAATACAATATTTTTAACTGGAATTTTACTTGCTAAAACGAAAACACGGGAGTGATTTTGAGTTGATGGTTCCCGACATTTAGACCACCTTGGAATCTTCTACGCGTACCTATGTCAAAGAGCGTAGACTCCACAACTTTACCTCTATCAAGGTGTGGAATTCGCTGGCTGTATTCGATGCCAAGACTTCCGGGTCAGGGATCAAGTGCCACTGCTACAAGAGCAGCGCCTTAGGGTTTACGGTGGAGCAGTGTATCACCAAGGATACTTTCAATGGTTTCACCCACCTTTGGACGCTTGGCGCTTTCCCACAACGGCGCTCGTGTCGCTAGGGGCGTCCTACGTTCAAGCTAGTGCGTTAGCACGGTGGAGTGTTTGCAAGGCGTTCATTCAGTACCGTTGCACGACTGTTTCGTTGAATGTGGGTACAGCTAAATAATTTACGAAACACTTCAATAACGACAATGCTACACGCCGTACACGACAACAACATTTCAAATGGTTTGGGGTTTTACTAGGTGCTTCGAAAAATGAATCCGAGAGGCGTCAAGTAAAGGACACTGGTAATTTTTTGCTGTTTTAAGCTGTATACTTTACTATAGAAGAATACATCTTACTATAATTCGAGACATCATTTATGTTGTTAACTGTAGCGTTTAAAGTAGTTTGTTTCAATTACAAGAGACACGTGGTTCCTTGACATAGGAAAGCGAAGATTCTATATCCTTTTTAAGATTTTGAGAAGTGGCCCCTCATAATTTTGAAGTGATAAAATTTCAGAACAAGTGAAAATTTCGTTGCTGCAGGAAACAGATGAACACTCTCGCTGGCTTATTACTGACGCCACTGTGGTCTTGTTCCATATAAAGCCTAAAAAGATTACAACGCCCCATGCATGCATAGTATGTTATACGCGGCCGCACTCTTGATGAATTTGACTGACGCAATGATGAAAGGGCCCGTCATAACCATCGCACGAAAAACTCATGTTAGAACATGAGGTATTCCGAGACGAGGTGTGCAAGTTTAAAGAATTTGCGACCGAAAATTTTAGATTGAGGTACACTATGGAAGATGCGATGGTTCGTCAGTGAAGTATCTCTATAGTGGTGCGCATGGAACAATTGGTCGTGCCCTTAAAATGGTCGCCAATTCACCCTTAAACGCGGCCCTGAATTAACCATTTATTAATTTATCTAGGATGATTTCTTGAAGTGGTGTGCTTCTTTGAATTTATCCCACACGATACGGGTCATGCCATTCACGTACGATATACCGAAATGCGGCAGATTTCACTTACTTTAAGAATAGATGTTATGCGAAGCAAACGGACGAAAGATGGTTGTGTTGTAATATTTTTGTTTGAGCGAAACGTGTCAAAATTACTCTTAATTTATGTATATATGTTTTACACACAGATATTTGATAAAAATTAACATGTTTACTGTTACGTAACGATACCAAGATTGGTATGGGTATCAGAAAAATCATAAGCGGTAAGTTGACACGTAGAATTGCCCCGGAAAGAATGGCAACCCTTAAAACGGCTAGAGAAATGAGCTTCAGTGGACCACATTTCGCTTCAGTTATGGTTTACCGACGTGACGATTGTTTGTATTAGTACGTATGTACTGTTTATCAAATTGGATAGGCAGTACTGCAACCATAATATAATTTTCACTAACATTACGGTCTACTTAAGAAACAGTTCCGAAACCGAGTGTGGCTCTGTATTGTACTTCTTGAATGTCATGCAGAAGGCTCGGGTTTGGTTCCTGCTGGGACCTAATTCATGTGATCATTGGGTCAACGTGCCGGTGCCAGCATTTAGGGCAGAACCTCCTCAGGGCCGATCTAGCTCACATTTATCATGCCCCACAATACTGAAACAGAAACTTAACACCTGCACAACGAAAAACAAAAACGCATGTGTAAAAAGTAGATCCATCAAGCGTACGACAGCAAAATACGTAATCACTGTGCCGTCCGTTCAATCACCCATCCATACATTTCTCCGCCCGTTGATCTGTCCGTTCTTTATACTACAGTCGGTGACTTCAACATATAAATCTTTGACCTTAGGACCAATAGTTTCACTCACTCATCGCTATTCGCTTTTTGGGGATGCATTTATTCTAATGAATCCCCTCGAAGTAAAGTTACGAATTTCCGTTCGCGCCTTTCCTTGGTTGATATAAACTGTCAATCACCTTCAGTGCAGTGCGCTTAGCTACAGGTAATCTTAAACCATGGTGACGGCTGTATAGTAGGAGTACATAAGTAATATTTTTTGGACAGCCGCCACGCTTTACGAAGAAAACAGTTGTGGGACCTGGCGTGGCTCTGAGGTAGAATACTTGGTGGCCGCGCTCAGTGCTCAGGTTGCATTACTGTTAGGACCCGGACATTTTTTCTTCGCATTAGTGATGTCAGCAATGCCTACGTCGGCTTTTTATAACGTTCATGCTTTAAAAGTACTCATGTCTGTATACGCCATTCCTGAGTTCATATTACCTTTCGATGACCTATGGCACATACGCGCATGCCATTGGCATATATGCGCCCGCGGGTCTGTGCTTCACGTCTGGCTGAAAGTGTCTGACAACTTGAGCAATGGGACTGTGAGATATTCATGTCATTACCAGCGAATCATATCTGCCAAAGTCAGTCAGATTCCCATAGTGAAACTTTTAGTATACCTCAAGTAAAGTGGGTGATAATGAGAGCACACAGACACACGCGGATGCATAGATAGATAGATAGATGGATAGATAGATAGATAGATAGATAGATAGATAGATAGATAGATAGATAGATAGATAGATAGATAGATAGATAGATAGATAGATAGATAGATAGATAGATAGATAGATAGATAGATAGATAGATAGATAGATACTAAAGGTATCTTGCAGAATGTGCTTGAAGAACGGAAAAAAATCCTTCGCATTTCAAAGTTCAAAATATTACTTCCAGTTGTACACAAAAAGTCATGTAAACAACGTTATATATAGAGAACTCATTACGCTGATCTCGACCTTAATTTTACGGTATATTCGGTAGGGTTCCAGGTGCCACTCTAGGCTAATAAACACAGTTCCCTTCATCACCTTTCTCGAGCAGGTGGATAGTCCAATGGCGTTACAGGAAGTCACACCCCGGGGATTTTACTGGGCTTAAGCAGGGGCGCGAGGCGGTCGTATTTTTGCGAAGATGAGACCAATGATCAGCGCCATGAGTCATGGTACACTGAGTCATACTGAGATGCTCAACCGAGGTTGCAAAAACGCATGTTGGGGATCCTACCAAGTCCAGGTAATGAAACACCACTTGCATGCTCTCAAGGTTGCCTAAGACTCCTCAAGAAATAACATACTGGCTTTAATTAGGTCTTTTGGAATGGGCACATTTTCTTTAGGTAACGCCAGACCAAATCCAACTTTTGAGGGGTGGTCTTCACGCAATAAACTTAGGCGACTTCAATTTACTGACGACCTTCGATAAAACAAGCCATTTCAAGGCACGATGTTGAGGAGGCAATGTTAATGAGTCACAAAGAATTCTCTATGTTTGTGATTGAGGCTGAGTGCATCAAGCGATTCGCGTAAATATTTTCACCTAGAATACTTGAGTGAGCTGATTTGGCGCTGACTTTTCCGTAGACACTTTGCCTTTCTCAAGTCGTATTTGTTTTTATTACGCCTACACCACCGCTTGGCTCGATGAAGGATAACTTTTTAAACCACTCCGTTTCCGCTTCATACCCAGAAAAAATTGGTGTATGTTCACAATTTGGCGTAGCTCGTGGAGCAGCATTCCTCACCACACCGTGAAGGTTTTCAGGAGGACACTTCATTTTACCGATAGCGCTGCATGGTTATCACCTAACCTTTCGTCAGTAAATGCGAGGACACCTGTTTATATTGTGTGGCTTCTTCTAGACCTTGGCTTTAAGATAGTTAGGAATATGGTTGTTCTAATAGGTTTTATATGCAAACCATTGCGCCTGATACCTGTGAGGGTGCCAATACTCCTTGTAACGTTGTTTGCGCTTTGTAGCGCAAATGTCTTGCACAGAAGCCGCATTCAGGGGTGACAACTCTCTAGCAGAAGGTGGCACTGTGCTCGCGAGCGTTCGTCACCAATATCGCCATCATGGACAGTGCGTAGCACCGGCAGTGACGCCTCTTGGCAGGCCTGGCTGGCGACACCTGAGATATGAGCAGTCCTCTTCGGCGGGTGGCAGTTAACGCGAACGGTTGTCTCTCGCGGTGGGAGCCCCTTGCACGGCCCCAAGGGCCACCTGCCATGGGCCCTCGCGGTGAGTCGAGCCTTGGTGACACAGCCTTGTGTTTGTTATGTAGTTGAGTGTTGTTTATATTGTATAGAGATACCCTTGCGTGTTTAAAACAATTGATGTATAATAATTCGGTTGATGATATTGTCGTTGTAAACTCAGTTCCTTAAATGTGTGCTGTTTGATCCGCTCCGATCATGCCCGCTGTGTCCGTTCATTCCAGGAGCGTGGTGCTCTCCCCACCAGACCTCACATGACTTGGGCTTCATGACACAAATTTTTGGTCTAGGTAGCTGCTCTTTTTCGATATGTGTATAAAACGTAAGACTGCCGTCATTTACAAAGTAAACAAAGCCTTTATTGTCTTAATGCCTAAACAGCAGAAGAAGTAGTACATTTGGAGCACGAAAGCTTTTTTTGACCAAATAAAGCAGCAGAATGCTGTCAGGTCAAGTATATCGGAAGCGTCATTTACACGTTTAGTTTCAACGTGGCAACAAAAGCAAAGGCTCTCTTTAAAGTTTATTTTTGTTCATATTTGCAATCTGTACTTCTTCTACATTCCATATTAACAAAGCACACGTAAACGTTATTAAATCTGGTTGTCATGCACAAGCGGTAGCACAGCTAAAAAATTCCGACACGAAGGTGCTGCCTAGCGAAGACGAAAGGCATGGTAGGAGTTCGGAAAGCAAAAGCAAGAAAACACAAAAAACGCGGCATATGTAGGTTTATTTTGATACAAGTGTAAGCTTGCAAAAACCTCATAGAAAAATACAATCCTCAGTCGAGTTTTGTTGCTTGTAAATTTTGATCTTTTTTAACAAACAAATTCTACTTCACAATATAAACCTACCTTAGATGGTGCCTTCGGTATATGGAAAGAATATTCCATACATACTTCGAACGTTCCAAAGAACTCGCATTACAATAAAAGCAATACATAAATAATGTTGATCGAGAGCAACACGACCACAGCCAGCCCTTGGATATCAAGGAAAACAGCTCCGCCTTTCAATTTCCCAGATTCGGTGAGTTTCACAAAGCCGCTGGTTTTAGTCCCACCAGCGTCGGGGTGGCCTTCCGGATCTTCGCTGTTGTCGGTTAGTGGGTTGTTATTTTCATCGCTGTTGACGGCGCCCGACAGGCTCCGGGCGCCTACGCACTGCATTCGTTCTAGGAAAGCCTCCAGCACTTTGGTGGCTCCAGCCACATCCGGCTTAGTCTGAGCCTCGGGTATGGAAGAGTAGCTCTCTCTGAGGCAGTGAACCATCTTGGTCTTCAGTTTTCTGCAAATACCAAAATGACCAAATCCGCAACTTCTAAACACGCTAAACATAGCGAACTCATGGATCACAACACGAGGCAAGCTTTTCAAGTTTCTTTGGGTGTTTGCAAACAAAGTTGTACGAAATAGAAGAAGGGGTCTCAGATTCAGCATGTCAAGCAGAATCCACTATACGCTCTTCCTGTTAATGCGTCACGCGAAGACGTGTTTTCTTCGCATCGTAGTGGCTAACACGTCTGCGTTCCAAGCAGCTTCGCAATTTTGGCGCCTATTATTCAGATTTCATATGTAGTCATTCATTAAGAGAGGGCATTGCATACCTCTTCAAGTGTGCGGCTTCACTTCAGATGAAAAACGTCCCTGAGCTTGCCACCTGAGATGGCATAGGTTTTCTCAAAGCAATTGAAATAGGCCATGAAAACATTCTTCGAGGCATGCGAGCTAACCCGGCGAAATCCATCGAAATATGTATAGTTTAAACGTTCATATCAGTATACACTGTTGTCTCTTTAATTTGCTTTAATTATAAGATGTTTGCAATAATCATAAAGGGCGCGTCACTCTGACTTTGAAAAGTTTCAAGATTTGCCTATTTATGTTATTTTGGAATAATTTTGTATAGATTTGTGCATGCGACCATTCTCGCTTGTCAAACTGGTATGGATGACGCTCATGTTAAGAGACACACTACTGCATTAAAGATACTGAGCCACCTCAGGCATATGGGAGCAACTTTTTGCGGCATCATTAAAATGAACGTTATGAATCACATGTGATGAAAAAAGGAGAAGGATTGAAAGAGGAAGGAAGAAACTGTTCTCTTGGAAGTGGGACCTGTCGCTTATACTGTACTGTAATGCGTGAGCCCAAAAATATCTGAATTAACAGTCGAAATCTTCAATATGCATGGTTTTAAAACAATTGACGAAGAAGACGCTAACACTTTGCATCATCTTCGTCTATATTGACTTAAAACAGCGCATATGCAAAACCATGGCAAGCCCCAGTCATTACGTTACTAAATCCACATAAAATTCCGAACATAGTTGTTTGCTTGATGCGTTAAAATAAATAAATAAAACTGCGTCAATATTAAACTCTTAAACCGAATTATTATCAATATATGAGAATCATAAGGACATAGTAATATTAAGGATGTCTCGGCAAAAATAGGAATGCGCTTTAGAACCCTAACTTTGCAAAAAATTACTTCTCAATAACAATAGGTGCTTTTGACAACATATCTATTTTAGCGTGCGGACTGTAAACACGCACACACACAAATATATACATATACAACTGTATATACATATTGTAGAAAGACCGGACAAAGAGAAAATGCCCATTTTAGGACAGGCTGTTCTATTATCTAACTTCGTTTTCCTCCTGTAGCCGAGTATGTACCCGTGACTGAGCGTCGCTTTTGTCAGCCTTGCACAAGGCCACGCTGCGTGCGGGCAGTCCTGCCAAAGTTATTCTGTCTTTCTCTAATGGTGGTCTTTTAGAAGGTGGAAACATCCAGAGAACCCAGCCATGAGCCACCATAGGTAAAACAAATGCCTCTGGCAGACATGTATGTGCTGCCTTGCAGAGGCAGCACATACGTACAACAGATGTCACACAATTTGAAAAAGATAGCCCTGAGAGAAATTGTCCGCGTAATGTTCTCTGCTCTGGACAAACTAATTCGTCTGTGAAAGTTTACGAACCCCAAGGAGGAGGTGCAACCCACCTGGGGAAAGAAGAATGCAACTGTTTGTTGAATGTGCCTTAGCTGTTGCACACATGTTCCTGCTGTCGTGTGGCGCGGTTTACATTGGGCAGACTGGTAGGTGTGTTAATGACCGCTTGTGCGAGCACTCTTGCAATGTAAAAACAAAACAAGCTTTCTTCTGGTGGTTTCCTGGCTCTGCATTGTAAGACGAGTGCATGCATTCCATTCTTTGGTCATGGTGTCATCATGGGCCGCAATCGTAACCAGTTGACATGGGAAATTATTGAGGCGAATGCTTTCGCAAAATGTGCGCCGTCTGGAGTCTTATCTCAGAAAAAGCTCAATTTTCTGGAGCGCGTGCTGTGAAGCATTGGTACAGAATTGTTAACCTTAAATGAGATCCCAAATACTTTTCCTTGATGGTGCGCTGTGCCACACGTGTACGGTTTTGTCATGTGTGTGGCGTCACGTGGAAAGAGCTGTATAGTGTGTTGTAAGGGTACGCAATAAACAAAAGTTGGAAATTAGAGCTCAAAAAAGAAATAACGCTCACAATATTCTTTGTTTTTTGCCTTTCTTGACTGCATAATATCGTTCCTTCATGCTCAAACTGAGCTGCGCTAAAGAATATCATTTTATCATGCACAAACTCGCCCAATCAGCACGGCAATTCTCAGTCTTGGCAATGATCACGGTCACGGCAATGCTCAGTCTTGCCTTGAAAGTCGGGCGATGATGGCTCTGATGTACGCCATTGACCATGTTGTGCCGGACTCCGCATGCCTACCAGGAGAGCAGGCACATTATTGCCTACCAAAGTACACCTGTGAGTTCCGACACGATACTGTACTTGGTACGGACGCAGAAACCTCTGTCCGTAAACACACACGTATATTTAAAAACATCTGCTTTAACCACCCTCTTCTGTTCCATGGCTGCGAGGTAGCAAGATTCGCTGGTAGTTCTGTACTCCGGCATTAATGCTGGCTAACGTCAACCTGGGTGCAAACCATGCTGCAGACACCAGGTTTGTGCCAAGGCGCCACCTCACTGTAGCGTAACAAAAGCAAGCTGAGCTGAGAGAACTCAATTTTTTTTTGTTTTGGGAGGCTGGCTACGCTTAGTTTTGCTAATAAACCAAAACACGACGTGATCCCGGTGCTGAAATTGGCGCCGTTCAAGCCGCTAGGTGAAAAAGAAAAAGAAAGAGAAATAATTGCACAAATTTGTTGGAACAAAAAAAAATTGCCCGCAGCTTCCCTCGGGGGAACACTGAGGAGGATGCGGACCATATAATTGGTTAACGGGGTGTTAAAGTGCGAGTTACTTGGGTCGATGGCTAAATTGGTTAACGTGGTTGTGAAATGGGGTGTTAAATTGCGACTTACTTGGGTCGATGGCTAAATTGGTTAACGTGGTTGTAGGAGGGGGTGTTAAATGAGTGAACACGTACACACGTATGCGAAAGGGCGGCGCTGGTCGAAGGGACGTCGATCATTGTGTTTGTGGATTCGTTGGAATTCATTTCACCGCGACCTTGGACGTCGACGCGCCGTACAAACCAACCGACGAGCGACAACTGAGCGAGCGAGCGCCGACCTTGAGTATATATACAGCACGACGGCGCATGCACTGTCAGCTGTTGAATGTCCTCGAAGCGCGACGCCACATGCGCGTCCACTGGAGAATCAGGAGAATTGTAGATGTCGAACGCGGTGTGTAGAGGAGGAAGGGTGCACAGATGGTGGAGGAGTGAAGCGCGCGCGGTGTGTAGAGGAGGAAGGGATGCACAGATGGTGGAAGAGTGGGCGACGGCGCATGCGCGCGCGTCAGCTGTCGAATGTTCGAGAAGCTGTGTGGACGGCGCGGACGGCGCGGACGGCGCACTACAAGGCGCGAGTATAAGATGCTTCCGCATCTAAAACAGTGACACCAAGTTGTCGTTTCGGCTACGAGTGCGTCAGCGAGAACGACGTGAAAGGCCAACTGATACGACGGGACGCGCGTGTGCACTGCAGCAGGCGTCTTGTCGCCAGATTGCGCACCGATGCCTTCAGCCACGCAATCGTATGGTCTGCACACTTCGGCTCAAAGTCTGTATATTACCTTCGCTTGCAACACGGGAAACAACGCGCATAATGTCTTTCAAACTTGTTTAGAGGAACAACTCGCTATACCGATGCTTGACGTCAATAGACCGACCGCCAACGACGAGGACAATTCCATTCCTGGAACCAATCTTCAGCGAACACAACAGGGCAGACAATTTGCCCGTCTGCGCATCGGGGACCAGTAAACAGCCGAGAGCCTTCGCTATACAGCCTTCGACCAAGTTGAATAGGGCACCACCCCTACGACCGCATTTGGATCTGGACGCAAGAAGGCAAACGTGAGTTGAGTGAAAAACTTGTTCACCAATAGACCATTATTTTATACTTTGCCAAGCTTCTCCGTTTGCTGCACATTCGCACCGCCAATGGTGGCACTTGCATGCGGCGTGGTTCGAGTGCGAGACAGGTCCTTGTAGCACATGTTTTGGGTTTGCGTATTATACGTGGTTCTACCAAGAGAGCTTAGTCTTCAATTTTCGCGCCATAGCGTGAGCAAACCACGCTTTAACATGCTGCTTCCAGAATTGGCCAGCATTAATTAGTTGGGCTAACTGCATCACAGTAAAGCTAGTTTAACAATTAGAAATCAGTGCGTACTTTGGGCCATACAAAGAGCTTCGCTGCATCGGCGGATTGTAGTATTGCATGACCAGCATGTTATTTCAATGCGCCGACCAGTACGCTGGACTACCGCTCGGCCAACGTAAGATCTAAAAATATGCGATTTTATACGTAGTATAACGAACATAGGAATTTATTTTTTCATAATATAATAGTATTTGAATATTTGTGTTACGTTTATCGCTTCTATATTATATTTCAAGCCTAGTGATGATGCTTCTTCACATAGACACGAGCACTATGTCACGTCTTTTTATTATTTTAAGCTCAAAATGTCAACGTTTGAACTTGGTGCATGATGCGCTCAGATCACACTCGAATGCAGCAGAAGATTTCATGGGCGAAACTCCTCAGGCCGTGTGTCGTTCCTTCCTCCGTATGTAGTCACCTCTAGTCAATGCCGTTCTCAATAGATGGTTTTTAGTGTATATGCCCTAGGAAGTAATATAACTACATGACGCTAGAGGTTTTCATGGCATGTCCGTGAAGTGAGTGATGACGAGAGGGGCGGAGCACCCGTCAGACTATTCGTGTGTTGAAATGTCCGTACGTCTGTCTGTTCGCCCGCCCGTTCATCTGCCCATGCTTGCAACCATCTGTCCGTGCGTCTATGCTTCCGCCCATCCATCGTTACGTTTATGCTTCCATTCGTCCGTCTGTCTGTCCATCCGTGTGTCCGCCCTTGTGTCCAATTGTGCTCTTGTCCGCCCGTACCTGCTTCAATTCTTCCTTGTGTCCGTCTGTGCTTTCGTCCGTGAGGCCGTCCGTCTGTGCGTCCATCTCTCCATCCATCCGGGCTCTCGAACGGATGGACACGCGGACGGAGTCAAGGCCGCATGGACGGACGGAAACAACAATGAATGGACGGACTGAAGCACGAGTGGGCCGGGAAAGAGGCGCATGGATGGACGGACGCTTCGTCCCTCTCATCATCATTCACTCCGTAGATATGCTGTGACTTTCGGTATCTGGGAACTGTCCGATGAATTAAAATAACCATAAGCTCGTTCAGTGCAGGGTCAATGAGTCCATTTGAAAAATAACGAGATGACCACCTATAGGCTACCACTATTCATAAGAAGACTCAACGATCATAGCTGGTATTTGTTATGCGAAATTTCGATATGAATATGAGGAACGTAACGTCGAAGGGCTCCAGAAGTTTTGACAATCTGGTGATCTTGATCGTACACTGACCTCGCACAGTACACGGGCTTCTATATTTTCACTTTCATCTAAATGTTAGCGCCGCAGCCTGAATTGAATTGACCACCTTCGTATCAGCAACGGAAAACCGTAACCGTTACATCGATGCGATGAACAATGACAGCGCTAGGAGCTTCGTGTGACATTTACATAGAAGCTATTGCTTGCTCGTCGTTATTGTATTAAGGCAATTTATCAGTTGTATAGTATACCTGTTGCAAAGTATGCTGGGCACATATTCGTCCAACAAAAAATTTCTTTTTAATCAATTCAACTGGCGCTTTCTTCATCAGCAAGACCAAGTCAAGGTACCTGGCCCGTAATGTTGGTGTCTTTTTGGTATTTAGTCGCGTGCGCTGTACACGAATATTGCGGTTAAAAGCATTGGCGCCGCAAGGCAACGCTAATATCGTGGCCACTATTGTGACAGTATCTAAGACTACCCTCTTCAAAGAAAACAGCCACCTAACATCATCATTATAATTTAAATTGACAGTTTGTAAGGTTAATGGCCGAAAAGTGAAGGAAAAGTACACACAAATGGTATTCAAACAAAAGAAATAATACACGTCTTGTTCTTTAGAGGAAAAATTTATGTAGCAAAGCATTATGCCTAATTAAAAAATGAGCTTCTTAGAGTTCAGCAGACCAATCACTTTTATAAAGGGGTGGCGCTGGGCATACTGCTAAAATTTGCTTCCACACAATATTTAGTAGCTTTCGCGCACCTAGCATTACCTTTTCTATTCTGTTTCAGGCATAAGAACTTCACCATCACGCAGAATAAAAAATGGCGATAACTTTGTCCCACGGCATACTAAGTTATCATTGCCTGATTAGGCTCAACGATAGTCAACCACTTTTTCAAGAACACACACACCTATATATATACATACATAAATATATATATATATATATATATATATAAATATATATATAAATATATATATATATATATATATATATATATATATATATATGTATATATATATATATATATATATATATATATATATATATATATATATATATATATATATATATATATATATATATATATGTATATATATATATATATATATATATATATATATATATATATATATATATATATATATATATATATATAGCCGAAACGTTAATGAAACCACAATTCGTACATGTGTCCTTCTCTTCAATCATCTGTTGTAACGGACCTATCAATCTTCATTCCATGTATATATATATATATATATATATATATATATATATATATATATATATATATATATATATATATATATATATATATATATATATATATATATATATTTGTCATGTTGTGCTTCTGGGGTAATACACCTCGACAATTATTCACTTTTAGTATTTTAAAATTTTTGTATTTGCATAACTTGGCTTACTTGCATTCGGTTAGCAGCCTCTTGGTTGCAAAAAGGTAGTCCGCAAGGTGTACCACTTTGATGTTTGTCGCACATCTTGTGAATTTAGTTACGTTCCAGAACTTGTAACTCTCAAGCACGTCTGCAAAAGAAAGAGATGAAAAAAAAAAATTTGAGATCAGCAACGCTCGTCCTGTCGCACTAGACACAGACTTGTTCAAGACAAACTATCTACCGCAGGCTTACAACTCTTCTTAGAAATAGTGTTCCTTACAAGTAAATCCACAGATTTGTGGGCGTGCAGAAATTTATGAGTTTATTTAGGGAAATTTTTTTTGACAGACGCAGTGAAACAACCTTCATGCATCGCTGATGCAATAGACTTGCAATAAAATCGGGACACATCTGATTAGTTGAATGAATGATGGTTTTTATATATGTTATATGTGGAAGAGAAAATTGTGCTGTGTGGCGTCCTGGTTGTAGGAGATGATAAAAACAGCAGCGTTCAATAGTGGATACCATTTCATGACGGTCTATGGTGGGGTCAAACTTGTGGACGCCGAAGTCAAGGGATGACAGGCGCAGATCATAGAAATAGATAATTACACTTCAAATATTTTACTACGTGCAAAAAGTCTCAATGTGTCTTTTTGCAGAAGAAATAAGGGACGTGGTATTGACACATAATCATTCGATATCTGCTAACTGATGTAGTGCTTTTAACATGCGTACCGCCTTGGGGATTAGTTTGCTGTCATTCATTCCCCTCTGACACACTGCACAATAAGGTTGTAGTTAGCCAAAGGGGAATTTCGATGAAAAAAAATGCTCCACCAACACGATACTTTGTGCAGCGATCGTTTTGGCACTTTGAATGATATCGTGACAAAATATTTCTTTCCTCAAATGCTAAGTAATAAACTTGCCAAATAAATTTTTTAGAACCTTGATGATGGCAGATAATATACAGCGTTTTTTTACATAGCAAATGTTTTTTATAAATGTCCTATGAGACTAAATTTGTTTTACAACAGTAAGTGCAATCCAATGGAGAAATATTTTCGAGCAATTTGAAGAGACACCGATGCGATTAAGTAAGACAAATTGATCGACTAGCTGTTGATTATGTACTTGAGGGCATGAGTTTATTAAAAAGCTTAAGCGCAGGCGGATTAAATATGTACACACTTTCCAGAAATCAATATGTGTACTGTTGAACGACAATAGAGATATTAATCATTGATATTCAAGTCCCCTTTCGAAACTCGCAGTTCAAAGTGTGACAAACCTGACCACTCCTTTACACCGATCAGATTATTGCACGTGGCATGAAAGTGACGAGATTGGATTGTAGACGCTTTCTGGTCGGATCTTTTTTGTGAAAAGCGACAAGACATTATAGTTGTGCCAGTGGATCGCTTTGCCTATGCTTGTGGTGTTTGGTGCTTAGATCTGCGTGTTTCTTTGAGGCTATTCACAAAAAATAAAATAAAAAATAAAAAAGCAATGCATCAACCTTTTATTTTTCTGCAAAGCATAATACTTGGGGACAACCACACGACTGCCCTTACAGAGAGTCGAAATAGTTTCCCGAGTGTTTTATATTTTTAAAAAAAAGAAACTGATCAGCAAGAGACATCGCTCAGTAAGAATAAGCTGTCTACTCGTCTATTTCGCTATCCTCAACAATTTTATTGGAGAGGTCACACTTTTGCTGCCTTGATTTATATTTCGTCAATTCCTTGTTGCCGGTAGTTCTGCTCTTACGCAAGTGTGCTGTGGCTATATTCGCGCATAGGCACGTTGATATTTGGTATCAGCATTAAAATTTGGAGATGAATATCTCTAATGACCTGCAGTTTCTGCGCTTTACAAAAATTGGGTATACCGTAATGAGATCTCCAATACAACTTTCTAGTTGATTGATACGTATTGTTTAACGTTTCAAAACCACCATATGATTATGAGAGATGCCGTCGTGGACGGCTGCAACAAGTTCGACCACCTGGGGTTCTCTAACGCGCACCCTAATCTGAGCACACAGGCCTACAAGATTTTCGCCTCTATCAATAGCGTAGCCGCCACAGCCGGAATCGATCCTTCGAGATGCGGGTCAGCAGCCGAGTACCTTAGCCACTAGACCACAGACGCGGGGCAAAAAATTAGGATGTTAATCAACGAGCTTTTGTTAATAAGCGCGTCGATGATGTTCTGGCGATGATGTTCTGGCTGAGGAAACATATTTACGCTTTGACAGACAGTGATATTTCCTTTCCATTTACACAAGCTGCTATGTAATCGTTACACTTAATGCTGCACTTCGGCCTATCATTCTAGTGCAAGCTAAGTTGACTTAAACTTAATGAGAATCCCGTCGAAAGAGAGGCATTGTACGTGACTCAATCAAAGTGGTGTCACCTTGAAACATAAAATTGCTATTAGCGTTTCTTCTTAAAACTTTACCAAAGTTGTAGAAATCAAAGTGTAAAAATGAACTTACTATTATCTATTTAATAACCTTGAATATCGGTGATACTGATGTATGACCATGACATCTTTGATTTATTGAACCAACAAAAATGACCTCTTTAACACTCATGCAACTAATCTTCATTACGCACGTGTATATATATATATATATATATATATATATATATATATATATATATATATATATATATATATATATATATACGTAGGGGCAAAGGCAGAACTGCGTTTTTTAGGGGGGGGGGCGAGAAGGCACCTTTTTTACTTAAGAGGAGTGCAACATCCTGATATCGTAAATTCCATCTCTGTACGCCAGTCCCCCCCCCCCCTCTCAACAAAAAATATTTTGGTGTGGATCGAAAGCACGGGCTTTGTGTGTTACCCCTGATTTCTACACCTCTGATCACATGGGACAAGGCATTCCTTTTACGTCCTTTTAATCTTCAAGATTAAAATAAAAGTAAAACATGCCTAAATGACCACAGTTGTTTTTCGACTCTTTCTTTCTGAATAAACGATTATCTTTGTTTCAATGAAATAATGTTTGTTTTCGTAAAACCTTACTCGATGTGTGGTACTAGATGCGACAGTACAGTGAACGACTAGACTCATAAGTGTCATTAGTAACAGACTCTGTTGAAAAAAGCATGGACAAATAAAAATATGTTGCGTCAGAAAACACAACTATACCGTGCTATGCATTGTCTCCGAAATTTCGCACAAGCAGGTTTCCCGCTGGCGCACCATATCTCTGCCCATGGGCTACCTGCTGTGCAAATTTAAAAGTATGCCTACTTTGAAAAGACCACGAATTTACAAGCGAGAAAAGGCGGAAGCCCAACAGCACTCTAGCGGAGATGAGATGGGGTTATACTGACTTCTAAGCAGTGTTTTGTTGTCTCTGCAAAGCAGTGCTTGCGCGGAATTCATCGAGTCCTCCATTTTGCTGATGGCGTCTTGCAGGACTTGCGGACAGGCATCGACTGTGCTCACCTGGTGGCAGCTCTTTCGTGTCTTCCTGGGTGCGGTTCATTCGGAACCATGAATGCACACAATCAAGAAGAAAATTGCAGGTCGACTTATGATAATAATTTCGGGCAAAACGGGTGGGATATCTAACAGTGTACAAAAAAAGCAGTTCAAAAAGTTTAGTTCTTTTTTTAAATTGGTCGTGAATTTATGTTTTCACTTATTCAGGTATTCATTTATTTGTACGACAATATACCAGTATCTACATTCAGATCGTATCCGGGGTCTATTCATAAAACCTGTACGTGGAAGAGAGTACTGCACATTTCAGAATGACAATTTCGGGCCTTATGTACAGAATCGAGAGGCGCTACGTCTGCGTCTGAATATATTACGTACATTTGAATCGCGGTTATCTTTTGCAGCACAGTACAATTTACAACACGGCAGTATATCTAACTGCAATTTAAAAAATCGGTGCACCCTTCTGTGGTTGAGCTCACATTTCCACAAAAGGACTTGTTTTCTTCAAGGCTGTAACTTTTATACATTTGAAAAAAACAAGCTTTTTTGTCGAAACGTTGGTTTGAGCAAAGTGCTTCTGTTAATAGTGGTGTATTACAGTCTTCCATCTTCCCCTTACAGTCGTTTCAAGTTATGCACTGTATTACAGATTAAGAAATTCGTGTGAGCTTCATATAACAACCTTCCTCCTTTTCGTACATGAGTGGCACTGGCCGCAAGTGATGTTTCGCAGACACATTAAGCGTTAAGCGTCATTGAGTGGAACGTGTGCCCTCAAAACAGGCGTGGTAGAGACAAGAAGATAGGATATGGGTATAAGAGCAAACGTTTATGTATGCGGTGCTTTTTCCGCAGCCGTGAATTGGGCGACCTCGCATACGCCTCAGGAAGCGGCCACCTGTCACGAGCAGCAGCGGTGGTCGACCCCGGAGCACTTTGCAGTTTCGACAGCTTTGACAGCGTGAAACTGGCTTTACTTGTTCGATACTCTGTTCGATACTTTAATTCCTCGATACTCTGAAAATATGTCAAATTCGTGCTCTGTGACGATATCATCAGATAACTGCATTCTTGCCACTTCCTTAACTTACAAAAAGGAATGCAATAATAAAAAAAGGCAGCATACATTCGAAATGTTGCATATTTGTAGCCTTTATGCACGCCAGTTATTGTGGCTTTTTTTTTGTTTACGTAGTATCTTAAGTTGACCGTTCGCTTCTATTACATGAATTCCACTACCAGAGACAAAGCAAAGTGCTGAACGAAACACATGAAAATGAGAATTGAAAAGAATTATATATATATATGTGTATATATATATATACATACATATATATATATATATATATATATATATATATATATATATATATATATAATATATATATATATATATATATATATATATTAGGAATTCGGTTTCTGCTTGGTTGCAACAAGCACTGGTCAATGCGCGTTCCTCTCTCAGAAGCGGTCCAACTCGAACATCTCTGCGCGCAGAATAATGAAGAACCCAACGTAGCATCGCCTGGTTGGAGCGTCACAATAAACATAAAGGAATCTACAAACAATCTTCATCATACCCTAGATAAGACTAGCAACAACGAAAGGCAACTTGATGAGTGTTCAGAGCCTATGTTTTTCACTCTTTTAAGCATGGAGCTGCAGCTTAGTGTGAAATTTGCCCATTTTTTCTGTAAAGCTCAAGTTTTTAAGCGCTTGATGTCACTTGTCCACTAAAAAGTTTTAAATCTCCCTATATGAGACCATTTATTGCTCATCGGCTTGTTGCAGATTTTACGAACAAAATTAACCACCAGCTGGTACCAGCTTTCTTTGCATTCATTGGTGGTTATTCATGCTAGGGTTAATTGAGAATACATCATTGAATTAGTGCTCTTCTTGCACGTATCGGGTGAAATAATTACCGAAATATTGTGCTAAAAAACATGAAAGAGGCTTAAGTTTGTGTCTTAACAAGAGGAATTTTGTGATAAATTCTAATAATTTGAAATTGGAGAAAGAGAGAGAGAGACAAAGAGAGAAACAAATTTTTTCAACCAAGAATAATGCATATTGGTTGCCGCATATACCTGGATGGAAAAATGAATTAACTAGTGAACCTCGCTCTACTTTCCTGTTTCGGCATAGTTCATTTCTTTAAAAAAATGCGTATGTATTTAGAACAGTATAAACAGCTGCTTTCATCACGATAGTGTTAAAGAGCTCGTGTCATTGATATTCCGACGTCAGAGTCAATCTCGTTGACTGTTCGCACAAAATCATTATGTGCGTGATCAAAAAATTGAGAAAGATGCAAATAAAATAAATATTGAAACATTCTGGGTCTAAGTAGAGATCAAACTCGGGTGGTTTTCATTGAAAGCGGGTGTTCTACCATACAGTGACGCATCTGCTTGCGAATGCAATGAAAATAACTTCCTCTCCTTTGAATTACAGTGAAAGAAACTTTCAGGCTTTACAAACACTTGCGTCCTGTATAAATGCTTCTATATACAACATCAATTATTACATTAATAATGCTTGGTACAAGCAGACATTGCCATCCGACGTCAGAACATGGTATTATCATAATGACTTCATAGCTTAAAGCCGGTCACCCACTGTAAAATGCATACACGTTACTGCGCTTAACCTCTTAGGGCCACGAAGTAGTTAGTGCACAACAAGTTGGAAAAATTTTCATGCCCTAAGTACTTGAAGTACGCACTAGGGACAGGATACCAAGATCCCATATAAGTCTTAAGACGAAGCTTAGGTGTCTCCGAATTTCTTTTTTTTTACTCTACATCTGTGTTTAAGTGTTTACGTTTGCGACAGTTCGTATGAGACTTCAATAGTTACCACTGCAAATCAGCCACAGTCTTGAATATTCAACATGCTACTTTAAGGCATCTAAGTAGCAGCAATTGCCAATTGAACGTGCGGACATGTCAAGTTTACGTACCTGCATATAGCATCATATATCCGAGGTTTGAGAGTCTCATTTCTTGCGATCATCTTGCTCATTTTTGCCTGTATTTTGCTTATCTGTCTCTGAAGGCAGCGTCTGAGCTGTTTATACCAACATTTACTCTCAGTATTTTCTTCGTCATTGGTAGTGTCTTCTTCATCAGCTGAAAGTCGGTGGAAATGAAAACAAACGCTAGCTGCACTTTCAGTTTAAAGAACCTTAGTGGTATTTAGAACAACCGAAAAAAGGAATCTGTACAATCAAACAACAGTCAGCAAAAACAGAGTACATCACGCATACGTTCAAAAGAATATACCGGCAATGGCAAAGCGAGTATTTTATTGTCTATTTTTATCATATATCCCAAGTGATTTTACCTCTCTGAAATATTGCTTCAGTGTGATATGTGTTGTTCAGCAAAACGTTCTATGTCTGTGTCGTCAACTCCGCAAAAGAAACATTGAACGCCACGCAAAATGTGCAAAACGACAAGCTATCGTTTCACGTTTCACGACAATTCACGTTTTGTGTGTCAGGCGAGTGCTCAGTGGCAACGGACACTGACTCTTGCTTGTGTTGATGCAAGCATTGCTGGTTGCCGCAATATCAACGTGTATGAATATTCGGCTAGGAAAAGAGGGAGAGAGGATATTTAGTACAAAGCTATAGATCTCGGCCCAAGATGTGTTTCTCTCGCCTGAAGCTGCGCACTGCGGGAGAGGAATGTAGACAAAAGTATAGAGCAATGGCTTAAAGGGTTAAAATAAACATTGCGCTTATCCGGAATAGTGTAAGCGCAGTGTTGTGGCAGCTCTGAAACCATATGTGCAGTGTAGCACTACCAACGTGGGTACAGGGCCTCAACTGTGAGGCCTACGGGATCGCTTTATGCTGCCCCATAGTAGAGTACCTAGTACTCTCAATGGTTACAAACTTTTTCTAAACAGACCAAGCACTCTAAATAGTTAGGCACTTTCCTAACTTACTTAAAACTCTATTGATTCGGTGTGAGGTAACACGGCTTACCAATATAATTCGATATCGTCACATTTCGCGTGCGTAAAATGCTTTTTAATAATGAGGCTGGAAATTACCATCAATCATCAGATAAAAAAGCGGCTGCTGATCAGGGACTACTATTAGACCTTGATGACCAGAGAGTTTGGCGAACGCCCACCATATTGTAGATACAATAAAAATAAACGAGTAGCAAACGCATGAAACACAGAAGAATTTCTATAAGGGTCTGTTTTGAATTTATGCACAATATTTGGATGTATACAGCAGCTGACCGTATAATGGTTATTGAAGACAATGACTGACAATTTTATAGGTAACCGTTTATTTTAGTGCAGAGATAAGCATACAGGCTTCGGTGTCTACGATGATGAAGTGGTAACGCGGAAAACAGCGTTAAAATTTTTTTAACAAATATTTGGATCTGAAGCACGAAAGAAGTCATTCACAGAACACATACTGCAAACAGTGCTAAGAAAACGCAATAACAAATTCACAGAGGCAGGGATGTGAGGCGTTATCTATCAAACTATCGCGAATGGTGGTATATGCCGAGTACACGTGCATGTTGCATGCGCCGTGACAAGACATGGGTTTTAGAATCGACACTAGCGCGGCTTCTCATGTTCAATTTCTTTTACTTTCAATAAATATTTATTAAAACAAGTTGCCGAACAGTACATGATGTTTAGCATAAATCAAGAATTATGGTGCGCTTAAGAAAGCGCATGCTCATTGCCCGAATAAGAAAACTAGTCCACGCATTACTGAGGGTTGTCCACCTGGCAGTGCGGCGGAGCAGATTGTGCGACTTCGAAACATAATATAATAATGCAAATCTCATTCATAATGCAAAAACTATGCTCAGGCCTGCAACTATAGTTCAGAGTGTTAAGATTGCAATAAGGTGTTTTCCAAGTTCTGACCTTCAAGGTAGACCAGCAAAAAAAAAGTTACAGCTTTTGCACAAAGGCGAAGCAATGAACGTGATAGCAAGAAATTACAAGGTGACAAGCCGTGTGGCAAGCAGATCAAAACGTGCCCCGCGTTTCTCACGCACAAAGTACGCTCGAAACGTACGCACATGTGCAGATTAACGCGAATAAGCGTCTCTTTTGTTACTTCGCTGTGTCTGAAAAGCGCGTACATAGCGTCTTGTCACCGCTTCTCTTTAACAGCGTACTTGCTGGACTTCCATGCCGATTAGCGCAAGAATGTGACTTTCCTATAGGCATAGCGATTTATGCTGGTGACATCGCACTCTAGGTCAGTGGTACGTCACACCATGGCCCACGTCTTTCTGGTATACTGCAGTGAGCTCTAAATGCAACTTGAGAATACTTGGTGGAAATTGGCATGCAGGATTCACCTGCGAAGTCAGCTGCCATCGCGTATCATCCAAGGCAACGCGCCTTGGGCGCCTTGGATGCATTGGATGGTAAAGCCTTAGCAGGTTTTACCTCAGACACACACTGATACAGTGGGTACACCAACATCGCTAACCTGGGTGTAATCATCGATGATCGCCTGTCTTGGCGCCCTGCTGTTAAAACTGTGAGGTGAAAAGCGCTGTCCCTGTTCATGTATGTAGCCGCCCTGACCGCTAGGGGTGAGGGCATTGGTCAGAAGATGGCACTACAGGTTTACCAATCAACTGTACTCTCTTGAGTGATGTATGCTTTGCCAGTCTTGAATGTGCCACCTGCTTTAATGTCCAAGCTGGAACGGGATCATCGTGTTGCCCTCCGAGTACTGTTTGGCTTTCCTCGTGAAGCACAATTCATCCCACTAATGACTGAAGCACACCATTTGCCGCTAAAGCTGCAAGCTTACCACAGAGCGCTACATCATATTGAGCGCCTGAACCGAGCCCCACATGGCAAGACACTTCTTAACAGGTTGTCACAGCACCCACTTTCTCGAATGAATAAAATAGCGGCTTTGTTCATTACCTGCAATTCCGGCGAAACTATTCAACCAACATCGACAGAGCACAGGCCATGTACCTCCCCTAACCATCTGTCAATTCCAGGAATACGCAAAAAGTGTAACCAACCTGTTTTGAAACTATACCAATTAGCCCAGTCACACTTGTTTGACAACATTGAAGACTATTTAAAAGTATTTATGGACGCTTCTGTACGCAGCGATGGACTGAGCACATCTGTAGCTTTCTTCTGCCCTTCAATCGATGTCAGGCGGTTGTTTAAAATACCGCACCCCTTATCGTCGGTCAAAGCCGAGCTAGTGACGATTGATGTCGCCCTTAAGTACGTACAAGAAGGGTTACCAGCATCGAAGGTTGTCATCCTCACCGACTCTCGTGGTGCCCTTAGCATGCAGACTCACCAGCAAGGAGACCGACAGCCTTATTCTGAGCAGCATCATGGAATCAGTTGTTATGAGGCACCAATTATTGGCCTGTTGCGTGTAGCGCAAATAATGCGGCTGATGTAGAGCGCGTAGCCAGTTCCCGACCCGTCAACTAGCGAAGCCGATCGGTTCCGCGAAGGCGAAGGCGGAAGACCCCGAGCAGGGGAAAGAAAGCAGACTCCTTCGTTCGCACGGTTCACGAGTGGAGCCGTCAAAGTCATCCCCGTTCGGATCTAGAAGGAGAAGGCTTACTCGGAAAAGCGTCTGGCAAGAGGCAGCTCAGGCACCACCGTCTGATTTTAAGCCATTGTTGGCATGCACGCGTGTCATTGAGAATGGCGCGGGGACGCGACCACTTGGCTGACCGAGACATAGGGGCGGCGGGGAAACGAGCATAACCTCCCCCGCTGTACATAATTACCAAGTACTGCTAGGATGTCGGGGCACCTCGCTGTCGCATGCACACCTGGTAGCGCACGGAGCCCAACGGTGTGCCCACCGCTCTTAGGGAGGCTTCTACGAAAAACATTCAATGAGAGAGCTCACGGGGCTCGAGCGTGAGAACGGCTGCCGACAGAAGTCGGCCGATGGTGGCAGCACGGCCTGGCATGGGAGAGAGTGTCACGCGCTTAAAACCTATCCCTTTGCGTGTTTTATTTCGTGACGTAGTTTTAACCAATGTAGTGTCTGTTATGAAGGTGTTTCTGTGATTGGTTGTGATGATGCGAGTCCGAACATGTGATTGGTTTTGGGAAGGCTCTTTGTTCAACCGAGGGTTGAAAAGAGGATATTTGAATCTGAAATAGGAGAGCGGATGTTCAGGCTTGGACTCTGGCAGTAGCCTGAGGCTGCAATAAAGCGTCTCTTCACCGGACTACGGCTCTTCCTTCGCGCTGCCACCATGCACTCGAGTCATCGAATGGACCCATTCAGAACTTCAAACATCTTCCCTCCTTAGCTAGTGTAGAAGCCAGTCGAGGAGGAGGAAATTAACTGAATTCATTAACAATATTCTGTCACGTGGGGTATGACTAGCTGCACAGTGGGTACCTTCGCACGCGCGTGTCGCGGGCAATAAAGAAGCGGATCACCTTGCTTCGTCATGCAACCTTGATGACTGTGACTGTTCGGCAATTTCTTGTACGATGGACAACGCTCGTCTGCTTATACGCCAACACCTCCTAAAGCAGCACCCAGACCAGCGTGTGGCGAATGGTTCGTTCCCTTCTCGCGTTCGTGGCCGTGGCTTGCTTCGTAGTTCCCGAGCGCTGTTGTACAAACTAAGAGTGGGCTCTGTGCTGGTGCGTGAATGATTACACCGTCTTCGCGTGTGGACAGCCCGTTGTGCACAGCTTGTGGCTTCTGCGAAACACTTGAGCATCTCGTAGTGCACTGTCTCACATTTTCTACGCATGGTCTTTGCTGATTAAGGAATATAAATTCCTAGAACTCAAGTGCCCGATCCTAGACGACTACCCTTTTTCGAGTGGTAGTGCTTCCCGACGCGACCAGGACCACCGAGCTCTCCTTACATTTATGAACCAAACGGACCTTGCCACCCGTTTATAGACGGTCTTTTTTTCCTTTTTTATTATTTTTTATTTATTTTTCTACTCATACTTGTCGAAGTCTTCGTCATTTTTTTCTCTCTTCCTCATCTTCTTTCCCCTCTCTCCCAACTAATCTTTGTTTCCTCTGTTTCTTCTCTCACCCCGAAAGTGTGAGCAGGCGTTGTGCCCCTCAAGGTGGCAGTTGGCAGCTTGCTCTCTCCCTCTTTCTTCTGTGCCCTTGCGTATCTGTGTATGCAAATCAAATAATAATAATTTGCAAACGAAGGCTGTGCAACCATTGCAGTGGCCTATGTACGCCCGTTAACTACAGCAGAATCGTTCCGACAAAACTCAAAGGCTAGCCAAGACGGACTATTTTCCCCATTGAAGACAAGGGCACGCAATCGAGCCTGCAGCCCTTCATTCTCTATGCGGGCCAAAATACGCGTGAGAGATGAGAGCCACCACACGCTCACTGCATCATCTTGAATGCTAAAAACACATTAGTCCTCCCCCCGCCCTCGAGAAGCCCTCACACAGCGGTAAGTGGTAGATATAAATAGCTTGCTGTTTGAACGTTCAAGGAGGTACCTCTCGGTGGCTCAGTGGATAACGCCTCACGTTCACGACGCGGAGGTCCCACGTTCAATTGCGCGCACCGAAGTCTTTTAAATGCGAATCGTTTCCAAGAGTACTTCGGTGACTTTAGGCGTATTTATCAATCTATCTAGCTGATGATATGTCAGGTTTAGTGTCTCAAAACCACCATATGATTATGAAAGACGCCGTAGTGGAGGGCTCCGGAAATTTCGACCACCTGGGTTTTTTTAACGTGCACCCACATCTGAGTACACGGGCCTAAAACATTTCCGCCTCCATCGGAAATGCAGCCGCCGCAGCCGGGATTCGATCCCACGACGTGCGGGTCAGCAGCCGAGTACCTTAGCCACTAGACTACCGCGGCGAAGCCCGATCTATATAGCTGCTTACGACTTTAGTTCTCCTGGCCATTTCGATAATGGTATCAATACCAAACTTGGTATGGCAGTGCATGACTGTATGAAAAACATATTTTACTAGTCAAGACATGAAAATCATAACATGAGTGTCATGTAACAACATGACTACATGCCACGCTCATGATGCGCTCGCGGCCGTTTCGCTCGCGTCTCATTTACCAAATTAGATATTACAGTACGTGAATGGATGACGAAGTTATGTGACTGGTTCAAACATGGTAATCATGAGATGCGTTTCATGTCACAACATGCCTACATGCCATGCTCATGATGCGCTGGCGGCCGTTTCGCTAGCTTCACTTACACCAAATTTGATTTTAAGGGACGCGAATGGATGACGGTGGTGTGATACTGGTGCAAACATGATAAACGTGAGATGCGTGTCATGTAACAACATGACTACATGCTACGATCATGATGTTCTTGCAGCCATTTTACTATCTTCACATGTACCAAACTTGGTATTACACGGCGCGAACGGACGACATAGGTAAATGACACATCTAAACATGATAATCACGACATGCGGGTCATGCAACAACATGACTACATGCCGCACTGATGATGCGCTCATGCCAGTTTCCCTAGCTTTACATAAGCCAAATTTGGTATTACGGGACGCCGATGAATGACGAAGTTATGGGACTGGTGCAAACATGATAATCATGAGATGCGTGTCAAGTGAGAACATGACTAAATGCCACAGACAAGGCGCCAATACATTTCGACGTGACGCGGTGCGCGTGCTCGCCGGCGTTCATTTTGTCGCGTCACGCCGGCGTTTCCGCGCCAGACGCCGGTCCTACCATATATTTGCAGGTGGTCTTCGCACTACGTTGCTTTGACGCATGCCTGTTTCAGCGCATCTGGCGTCCCTCCGTCTCGGAAAGAGGGAGACGCGGTGTTGTCTTGGTAAAGCATCGGCGCGAAATGCAGCATGTCGCACTTCACGCCGGTTGCCGTCGGGCCGCGCCGACGGACGGTGGTCCCGCCTGGCGTCAGAATATAGAGTGCTCGCGTTTTGCTAACGTATCGTCGCTGTGCCCGGCGTTTGCGCGCGTCAATGCAACATTGGAGTACATTGGGCCCTTCATGGTGCGCTAGCGGCCGTTTTGCTAGCTCCACATATTCCAAATTCGGTGTTACGTGACGTCAAATGATGGCGTAATGTCTGACTGGTGCAAACATGACTATCCTAGCCGTTGTCATTTAAGAATAGCCGTTGTCATTTAAGAACATGACAACACACCACGCTCATAACGCTCATAGCATGCTCGCGGCCGTTTCGCTAGCTCCACATATGCTAAATATGGTATCCTGTGACGTGAATAGATGGCGAAGATAAACTACAGATCGAAACATGATAACCATGGCACGGAAGCCATGTGCGGCATCATTCTCCTCCACCTCGTAACGTTGTGCTGATTTTAAAGTGACATATCAACATTCCTCTTTCGTGCTTCGCATATCATCGATTCCCACTGTACGTGGCATCTGCCAATTTTTTTTCTGGGATTTTTTTTTTGTTTCTTGCAATTTCAAATATATAGATACGTATACCTATGTGGTGCATGACATCAACGCCGATGTCGACGCGGACGCCGGCGACGAAATCCAGTCGAGAGTGTCCATATATATGATATCGCAATAAAAAAAATCCAGCTTACACCGCGTATAACAGTCGCCAAGCATTCGGTTTCTAATAACTCTGGTGAGTGTCCGAGAAGGTTTATAGCAACCGAGGCTAGGCCTTCTATAACATACTTTTGTTATTTCGGTTCTTAGGGTATATTAAAGCAGAGATAGTTGTAGATGTAGATAGATGCAGTTTGAAGATATCTTCCTTCCAGAATAGCCCCAATATTATAAGGTCAGCTCTTTAAAAGTATTCCTATTTTGCGTTATTACGCATTAGCTGATCTGCTGGTCTGATAAATTGTTTAATGAAAACATTGTGACCAGTTTTTTATTGGTGCTATGTAACAATTTGCGTTTTATGGCCGATGTTAATTTTAAAGTTTCAAACACGTGCGCTGAAGTACGTTTTAGAGATGTATACCATATATTTAGTGTTATAAATAGCCATTGCAAGGCACCAGCAGGTGGCTTCATCATTTTTTTCTTGCGCAACATCTCGTTGTCGAAACAAAATGGACACTAATGCGAACAAAATAGCCATGACATTTTTTAATGCATAACGTTTGCCAATTATCTCTATAGCGTGACATTGATATGAACATACATACTTTCAGAGTTCCCGAAGCCAGTCGTTGTACAAGCTTCTTCAAGGGTTCTGGTATACTGAGTCTGCCTGGCCAGCAAGGCTGCGTCAGAGTCGACGCAGGAAACAAGGTCCTCTTCGCAAGGATGTACCGTATCGTTTGCCCTGAAGTTTGCAAAATGTAGGGGCATTATACGGGTGAATAAACGCAACAATTTCTTGTACATAGCAGCAATAACCTGCACAGTTTTCAAGCATGGTGAAAGGAATGATAAGCCTGTTCGTATTTTACAAGTCTTGCATCCAATTGCGCGATGCTTCACCCTATTTTAAGCCTGAAGGACCCTTTCGTTCGAGATATTTTTACTGTCCCCAATATTTCAGGGTTGTAAGTCACTTCTACTCCTTCACTGATACTATTACTTTTAATGTTAATATTATGCTTGGGAGAAGCTCGTAGAAGTGATTTGTCGTTCAGCGCTTAGGCCAAATGTTAAGGTCACTGCAAAAGTAGCCAAGTTAAGGATCAGACAGCAGCATTATTCTTGTCCAGGGACAGTGCCGCTGTGAAGGATAGTTTGCTTTATGAGTATATTTTTCCTTGAAGGTCTTGAAGAAGAAAATACAAAATGACATAATATAATGAAATATAATTGTGCTGACGCCACACTATATGCAAGTGCATGACACAGAACTGCACTATGTCTATTCCACTCGCTTCTTTCGCCTTTGTTATTAGCGTTGCCTACGCCACAAAAAGTTTTATTTGAGGCTCAGTACCCAGTCCCACGTTCTCTTATATATACTGCAAAATGATTACTCCGAGGTTGGAGTAAAACACTTGTTCTGTAGCGTCCCCCCTTTTTGGAGCAATTTTCGCTCTGGCTCGCCGAAGGAATCGGATGGCGCCGCCGAAGTACTTTTTACTGGCATTTTTTTCCGGCTGGCCGGAGTGATTACGTGGCACCTCCGGAGCATTTCTCGCGGGTTTTTCACTACGGCTATCCGGAGCTTTTGTGTGGTACCTCCAGTGTATTTTACGAATGTACTTACTTCTTCCATACAGAATTTCAGTGAGGTGGATCAGTAAGTTTTCGAAATGTTTGCTTCACTGTTAAATTATTGTATGCAGAACGTTTCCCGCATTGTTTAGCTGAAGGAAGTCCCAATTCTCATGGAAGTACTGCAGAATTACTCTGTATTCGTTTACACAGAGCTCTAGCAGATAAATTCAAGAAAACATTTGAGTTATTATTTTTAATTTAACCAAAATAGGCTGCCATTTCTGGATGAATACCAAGTGTGTAGGAAAAAGAGACGAAAACAAACAAACATGGAAAAAGCCACCAAAAACAAAACACAATGAGACAGATCCCATGAAATTGACAGCACTCAAGTTTGAAACACAGCGCCTCAAAATGAAGCCCATTATGCTGCAAAACGACGCACGACAAACAAAGAAAGCGCGGCCACCGAGAACAACTCTTCATCATCCCCAAAGAACAATCCATCAGATTCATTGACGACGCAACCATTGAGCTGATTGGTTTCTGCATATTTAGCAAAAAAAGTTAATGATACATGAGAACTGCAAACCATGCGAGAGGCACGGAAACGGAGAGTACTGAAGCCACAGACACTCAATAAACCCTATACAGTTTGTGAGCCTACGAGAACAAGCAACTTTTAAATGGACCACACACAAACACCCACAGGCAAAGAGAGGAGGAGTGCTCAATATAAAGAAGTACATCCGATGTATTCTGGTATGAGACTGCCGTAACATGATAAAAACACATCTCCAGACGCGAACAAAGTTTGAAACTGGCCAAAGTTTTCTACATATTTCTAAATCAATAGTTCTACCTTTGCTGGAACATTCACAAGTAATTTTTTACTAAAATGATCCTATTATGGTACTCTCGTAAATGCCATCAGAAATGCCCCTTCCGACAATTTCCTAATTTTATCAAGTAATAATTCTGATTATTTTAGTCCAATTTTAGTGCGTGCCCATCTTCATACTTCTAGCAAAGTGGACCCTTACACTTTGCATGATTGCAGTCTGTGTTTAAAAAAAGCCTAACTTCATCTTCTTTGGAAAATAATTTTCGAGGCAAGTTGGCACTGTTTTTTATAATCGCACTGCCCGCTCTGCTCCGATACTCGTCGTTGTGTACATTTTTAAAGTAGTTATTGAATGAGTATGTACTTCAATACGAAAAGCTTCAAGCACAAAATAAGGAAAAGTTCAACACAATGTAATAAAGGAAATAAGCTGTAAAAAGCAAAAACATTACGCCACCTAAGCCAACTGCATTTTCACAAAAATAAGGGAAGGCCGACCAGTTTACTCAACCTAAAGATCCGTACGAACATCCGGGGACCACAGAAAGTGATGCGCGGGGTAGCGTCACGACGTGATAGTGCCTACTCCTTGAAATTTTAAATGCGAAGCATTTCTTAGTGAAGTTCAGCGACTATGAGCGTATCTATCTATCTATCTATCTATCTATCTATCTATCTATCTATCTATCTATCTATCTATCTATCTATCTATCTATCTATCTATCTATCTATCTATCTATCTATCTATCTATCTATCTATCTATCTATCTATCTATCTATCTATCTATCTATCTATCTATCTATCTATTTAGCAGCTTACGCCTGGGTGCTCCTTTAACTTGGCGTGAACCAAAATTAGCATGGGAGAGTAAGATGGCTTGACAATTAAGAAGCGCTGGTCAAAACATGAATAATGTCGCACTCGCGTCGCGTACATCGTCAAACACTTCCCGTCAGACAGTGGTACATGGCCACGCGCGAGTACGTGCCACTGGTATGCTGGTATGTGCCACAGATGTTGACATTTAGTATCTGCCCAGGAACGACGAGAACACACATGGGCAACGTTAACGCGTGAGCTTCAAGCAATACCCGACATCAGTGGCGTCGACTCACCGAAGGCATTGTATACATGTCAGTGTTAAAAAAAACCTGACGTAAGCAGCGTTGACCCCCCGACGATTGCAAATTATAAATTTCAGGCTCCCAGCACGAATCGAAACCAAGAATTGTGCGTTGCAACGATGTGTTGTACCACAGAGCTACGCCAGATGTAGTAACTACTTTTCAAATAGACGCTAATATTCGTGAAACGTCAATGGTGGCTGCAGTGTTGCCTACTCAATTTTATAAACATCACATATGTACTCCTTTGATACAGCCGTCACGTCGGGTTAACGTCAATTGTGGTTAGTTGCCTTGCACGGAAGTTGATTTTGTAGCAGTGTCCAGAACCAGTCAGCTCTGAAGCATCGGGGCTTCATATCAGCTTCTGGTATTGCTAATACGCATATTCCAGTTGAAGTCGTTTCGCAATGGCAAACAACTGGTTATATAAACATCTGCAACTCTTCAATATATGTCTGTGCGTGAAACATTTTATATTTAGCGTCATTTCATGGCATGTTGCTCAAAAAAAAAAAAAACTGCAATACGGTGGCCTTCCTGCCACTTGCTTCGCATAACGTTAATTCTCAAGTCCGTTAGATCTGCCGATATTTTTCTTTTCTCCATTTCTGCTCACAGTCCAGCGTTGTTCCATCGCCCAGGTTAAAACTACTCTCAAAACTGTTTGCACTCCTGTGTCTCGCAAAACAAAAACTGCATTCACAACCACTGCAGCATGAATGAAAAGAGAAAAAAAAAATGCTGCAGCAGGATAGTAATCTCTCCCATCATCAACAGAGAAAAAACGGCTAGTTACCTTCTCCTTTCTCATCTTCTTTCTCTACAATATCCACCCGTCTTGGAATGCTGAGTCGGGTTGTCATATGCGTTAACTTCATTACCTCCCCCCCCCCCCTTCCACAGAAACGTCCTGCGCCGCACGACTCGTGCTGCCAAACAACTCCAATTCTTTTTTTTCTTTTGCATTCCTTGTCTCTAGTATCTTCAGTTTTTTTCACCCCTCTCTTTCTTTTCCTGAAAGCACTACATCACCCAATGAGTCCAGAATACGTCTTCATTAATACCTCAGATACCACTGATCCAACCCAAATAACTTTTTCCCCAGTATGAGTGTGTGTATGCGTTCTAAACATCTGTACCAAGCCCATTTCCCCACCTAAATTCACTACATTTATAAAGGATTAAAACTGATTTCGGTTTTTCATGCTTTATTAGTGCAGCTTACATATTCTATGAAAATAACGTTTACGCAGTGGTAGACCTAGACCTGGCGTTTATTGATATGAAAAGCCGACAAATGTTACTGCTTATGTGTACCGACAAGACCAAAAATATCTTTTAACCAGTTAGGTTTGCCTATAACAATAATTATCATTTGATTGAATCAACCTAAAAATGTGCTTTTCTTAATGGTGCATATTTAATTAGTGGTCCGAACATCACAGTGACTTGATTCAATTTACCGAAGTTATTATGGCGTAAGTGTTGCAGAAATTGGGACGAGGGCAAGAAAGTGAACAGCAAGCGCTCGTGGTGTTCACTTTCTTTGTCTCGTGCTTTACTACGCTACGTTGGCGCCATAATGAATCAGTACCAACTCGCTCACCTCTCTACCAAAGTTATGTTAAAAAACGTAGTCCAAACAATGAACTATTGGAATTCCGCAGACCTTTCACTGACGTCTTGTAAAATTAGCCTGTATTGATCACATGTTTAGTTTATCAACGCAACATTATCTAATATAAGTACCACCTGAGAAGAATAACACAGGTAATTCAAGGAGAGCTCACTCACCATTTTCTCGCCGCACGAGCTACTGCCGGGTCTCTATACACTAGCGAGATCAGAATATGTCGTTTGCTGCCAGGAACCATCAAACGATTATGGTTCACACAACTTCCTTCTGTCGTTGATAACCTTCGTTGCTGCTTGTCGCTTGTGATATCCACAAGGCGTTCAAAACGATTTCTTTTACTCCAACGTAGCCGAACGCCTCGCACAATCTTCACTGTACCGGCTCTATTTGCACCATGATGGTTTGTGAGGAACGGCCTCTCGGTGGTGGGGCTGCCTACGTCACTCCTCGAACAGCCAATGAGTGCCGCTGAGCGATGAGTGGAAGCAATTGGGGAGCGTCCACCGGGGCACAAGCACTGTGCCGGAGCATTTTTGGAGCCGCCACGAGAGCATAATCAGGAGATATGCCCCGTTTTTCTCCGGTTTCCTTCATCCGGCGCCCACCGGAGGAAAACGGCGGAAAACGAATGTATTTGCTCCGGTACAAATCGTATTGAAAGACGCCAACGGAGCAGAGCGGGGGCATAATTCCCCTATTCCTTCCAGCTGGGTATGTTTTTATTTACAATGTTCTTATAGTGAGCTATTAAAGTGAATCGGCGTTTCGCGTAGCAACGTGTCTTCTGGTCCAAAATAATAATACCCCGTCTACAACGGCTCTGATGTTTCAGGAGTAACACGCACACGTTTGGTGTAAGTGGTGCGATACGGTACTGGATGATTCTAGGAGTGATCGAGCATGCATGTTTGGTAGATAATGTTGTTTTCTCCGTTTTCTTGCACGTGATATGAGCGCGGTCAAATTGCGCAGATAGAACATTGTACTTTCAAATGAAAAAAACGAAAATACTCCTAATGCGCCAAAGATACTTAAAGGTGAACGTGACGAATATTGAGTGCCTACGTATTATTCTCAATAAGATTATCAGCAGCGTTGGTCGCTCGTGCAGTAATGTAATGTATTACCAGTTTCACCTCAAAAGTTTCAATGAATTCAGTAGGTAGCAAGACACGGCAATATTAGAATGCAAACAGTAAGGACATCTTTGAACATAAAATGAATATTAAGCAGTCGAAAGCATATTCGGATCTTTGTTAGCAGCAAATATGATTGAAAGTAATGAAGGGTTGAAGGCCGCCCTGTATTCCGCTGCAGCAAGGCTATGGTAACACCAATTATACTTGTAATGTAAATACAACTATCTTCACAACGATTCCGCCCATCTGCCTGCCGGCCGACTTCCTCTAGAGCAGCAGATGGATGCGCACCTGCTCCTCTATAGCTGCCACCTGGCGTCGGATGCTAGGCTAGCTTTGCTCTGGACTGAGCCCATTGTGGAGGCCTACCGTGCGAGTAATCTGGGATGCGGGCGAAGAATAGAAAACATAACATGGCTCCTGCCCGAATGAATGTTTTGCACGTGCCTCGAGCTGCTTTGGGTGTCCTTCATGTCTCTCACAAGCGGCTTGAAGTTACAAGCACTGCACCAAGTTTAAGCTCATTTCGTGCTGCACCATTTTCTAACCAACTTTGCTGAGAATGAACTCCATGAATGTTTGCTTGATGGTCATGGCACAATGATTGCTAAGTTAATCAGAAATCTGGCCTTCTCGCCAGCATATATATTATAGAAGATAAGATACATAAGGCGTAACTTGTTGTAGATACAACTATTCACATTTGTGTGTTATCTCACCAAATCGCATCATCGACGTTACGAACGTTGTTGTTAAATCACCTTCACGATTCACCAAAACCATAGTAAAGTATACCAGTCTATAGAAGATCAAATTCACCTACTTGCACAAGTCTTTCAAGGCGCTCCCGTTGCTTGAACGTTGTTCCAGTGCGTTGTGTAGATTGTCCACAATGTTACCGTAGCACTGCCGGGCTTTCTTCAAGTCGCATGCTTCGGCGGAAACCAGCACTGCAACATTAAAGAAAAATCATACGTTAAGACAAACACTATAATTGATATATATATATATATATATATATATATATATATATATATATATATATATATATATATATATATATAAATATTATTCATCTCTTTTTGCATGTACATATTATAATAATGATTATGTATTAGACGAGTAGACGAGCACAACACATTAGAAGTCACACACAAAAACAACTGTAATGTAAATAGACCTTAATCTACCTTCCAAGTAATGTACATTTTTGTTATTATAACTTTAGCGATTGAGAAACTGGAAGTTCGTTATTACCACAATAACAAGTAATCTGCAGCTACACACAACACAAAGTCAAGGCAAAGGCTATACGTCTCAAATGAAGACGTAGACCTATGTATACAGTCTACGCCTTAATGAATGATGGCCTAAACTGTATGCTGTGTTAAGCAATAGTTACGAAAGTAACGGCATCTTGAGCTTCTAGTCAACCAAATTATGAAGTGACCACTAAGCATTGCTACCACCTCAAGTGGGTCGTATACAAACCACCACAATAGCGTTGCTACCACGACATAGCAGGGCCGTACTACGCTGAATTTATGGCTTCACCATCAAGCTAACCCATAGTCGTTTTCAGCGAAAGAGGCCAAGTAACGTTGCAGCACCACACCCTCTATGCTATGACCATTAAAACAAATCGTGTCAAATGAAACGTCTGCTACATTTCTGTTTCGCTGGGACAAAGTGAGTTTTTTTCTAGCAATTGCAAAACCAGGGTAAATCCCTCGCTAGAAACTAGCGTGCGTGATACAATTGAAAAATAAAAAATACTTACTCGTGCTGCTTACTGAAATTAGAGCTCATAAAAAGGATGAGCACAAAAAAATATTATGTCCTCAAAATTCCCTAAACGAGGCATAAACAGGAAGATTTATTGGACGATGGATAACTAATTGCGTGCAACTCTACAAGATTGTACCTTTCGTGGACCGTGCATCAGTTCAATTAGAGATAAAAACACTGGAATTATACTGAGTTAGCTCGGAACTGCAAATTAGTTCATTATATTCGACATTCACTGTTACAGTAAAGATCAACTCTAACAAGCCTGGAATCTAGCTTGCGCAGTAATTCGACACAAAACGTATAATGGTCAGATAACCCGCTATAAACGAGGTGGTGTTTAACTGTTTCCTAGTGGCATTTCAAACTGCTCAAACAGACAAGTGCGCAGTTTTTATTCGTTTGTAATATATGCTAAACTTTCTTTCCGCTTTGTAAAACGTCAATTGAAGAGAATGTGGTTGTAAATTGCCTCTAGATTATTTTTTCTGTACCTATTAGTTTTGGCCTCGCGCGAACCAAATACATCCTCGTCAGAGTAGGTAAGGCTCTTGGACTTTCAGTTTTGTCATACAACGAATAAGCTTCACTAAACTGAAGCATGTCCAACGAACGCCTTTGACGTGCAGCACTATGAAACCCATGGACGAAGAAACACATAGTGGGTGTGACGAACGCAAAAGTTTCACTATGAACCGATTTGCCCAAACCAACGTTCTAGTAGACCAAGAAAAGTTTGTACTTGGTACTGTGTAACTAACATTTACCTATATCAGGCTTTGTTATGATGACGTTCGAATTTACAGGTAAAAAAAATCAGCACACTGTAGAGGCACGAGACTCGAAAAGAATACGTATTTGACGGGCAAGAGCCCACGTAGAAACATAACTACATATTTGAAAATGTTTTAACGACATCGACTGAGAAAGCTTCTCGAGGTTAATTACTCGTCTTGTTTGCAGTACGACTTTTAAATAGAACGTTTTAGTTTCCTCTTTTTAGCAACGAACAAAAATGACATGCTTCAAATAAGGAATATTAGACGTTGTTCTGGTTATATGTTTTTGACGGCAATCAGTAAAGTGTATGAAGCATTAAATATAAAGTATTTACACTTACCTTCATACTGGATAACGAATAAGAGGATGATCACTTGGCATCGCAGGAAACGTCTTTCCATGGTTAACGTGATTGTGAGTTCCCTGATTTCAGTGATTTTCAAAGGCAGACAGAAAACAATGTTCCGGGCGTCGTATTATGAACAGGTCATTTAGAAGGCGTCTGTTTGCCTAGGGTGAAAATTCGATGTTCTATTCAGCAAATTGCACCCCTGGTTTGAGATAGCTATTATTAAAGTCAGCAAAATACGAGAACAAATACCTATGATTTGGAAAACTACATTAATCAAAGCCTCTCAGTTACCTTTACTTCTAACATTCTTGCCTTATAGTTATTTCACGCTTGGCAAATAAATGTTTGACGTAACGATAGCATAATATATTAATTTATTTGCGAGGTTTAACGTCCCAAAACCACCATATAACTATGAGAGACGCCAGCATATTATATCGGGCACGCCATCTGCTGAAGAGACTAAAATTCCCACCTGAGTGCCTGAGAGGTGTTCTTGGCCACTTTTCGCCCTGCTTTCGCGGCCCCACAGATCACTAAGAGAAGACAAATCCAGCATGTTCAAAAGGTAATATAATTTAGTTTCTTCTTTGTGATAAGATGAGGCATTACATATATGCTTACTGCTGCAGAGGTGAGTCTCGTCAATGGCTGGCGTACAATACTTTTTGTCAGCTTTAGAATCGCAGCTGTACATGTGTCGCTATCCATACGAGAGACACTGTTTTCAGAACCTTGTGAAGCTTGAGATATGAAAGCGTGAAACTTCACCTTTTAATACAAACAGGCCACGGCATCGTCTTTTAGTCGTTACCTGGGCATTGTGGTATTACCGGAAAGGATTCTACACATCATGCGGCTCGCACGTCACATTAGCGAGCGCACAGCGTTCCAATTCCGCTTTCAAGAGCGGATGCGGCGAGGCAGATTCATCAACTGGCCCGCAGTCTCACACTGACTGAGTGGAACACAGCAAGCATACGACGTACAAGACTACATGAATTTGACTCCTAATTACAGCCCCGGCCTCCACCAGGCCTTTATCGACGTCAAGCTTCGCTTCTCTAGCGCCTTTGGCTGAAAGTTGCTTTCACGAAAGCTTACACCTTGTTAATCGAATGACTGACAGTTCGACATGCGATATTTGCGGCACCAATAAAAATACCAAACACCTGCTGTGCCACTGTTCTCGATTTGCCTCAGAAAGACAAGTACTTGCCAATGCAATGCGGCGTCTGGATGATGGGCCTCTTTCTGTGCAGGTGCTATCACAGCACCGTCCACATTTAGAAGCTTAGAGTTTTAGAGGCTAAGTTATCTGCTGTGTACATTTTCTGCAGCCCTGGAAAACAGATAATATAATTATCAGCGCTGATTACACTCTGCTGTACTTTCAACCAAAGAAACGAATAACCAGGCGTTAATTCTTGAACAATAGTCTAGGTTCACGTATGACGCCCTTTTTATTAAGTGATATGCATCAAACAAACTGCTGGTACGTTCACACTCTAAAAGACAATCCTAGGCAAGCACCCAGGCCCATAGGTTGCTTAAGTGTAGTCTAAATTTTAACTGGTGCGTGAGAGCAATTTTGTTTTCTGTCTCTCTTCGTCATACGATAACCTTAAGTTCCAAAAAGCGTCAGGGCAAGGAAATGCCCACAATGCACATGACCAAAAAGTTTTTTTGCTATTCAGTTAAAATATAGCGTTGGTAAACATAAAATTTGCCGTGGCGCACGCTGCAACGAAATTTTTAGCGGCTGTATACACACCTGTCTATCCCCCTGTTTGGCGTATTGAGAGTGAAACAGGTTGGCCAACAACAAGTTATGCGCTCGTGATAAAAACATTTTTTTTGAAAACATGTCTTTCTTACCCCTCGTTCGTATTCCTCTAGGATGAAGTCAGCATTTGTGCAAAGCAATGTGATCACATGACCGTAGAGACCTCCAGGCTACTCTTGCTGTCGCCGTTAGCGCGGGGATGTTTTGAGCACTATTTTGCACAGCGAACTCGTGCAATCGTGAGTTAAAGTGTGGAGCTGTTTTCCGCGTGTTGCCGGCGCGAGACAAACGCGGGAACGTCCAAAGTATAACGCATCCTGGTTGTCGGAATTGTCGTAATCAGTGCGGAAGTGTCTTCCTCGCCTACTTCCTTTCCTACATCCGTCGCTGCGGAGCCCCGTTTACGAGTTGTTCAATACTCGCTTGTCTGCGAATATTATTTCAGGCAGTAAGATTGTTCTCAAGACCATTGAAAAATACCTACCACGTGGTCAATTTCACCCTTTAGTTTTGTTTTATAGGAGGCAGGGGCGTAGCCAGAATTTTTCTGCACCGAGGGGTGGGGGTGGAGGCGGATACCCTTGATTTCGGAAAAAGAGCCCCTTTGAAATGTTTTTTTTTCGCTATTTTATTCCACGGCGAAAAATATTTCTGAGGGGGGGGGGGCGGGAGATCAACATGGGCCCGGTTTTCCACCTCCTGGCCATGCTCCCTTTCGGAGGGTATTGTGTGCGTTCCACAAATCGTTACGAGCGTTGGTTGCACATCCCGACGAAGTTGGGTGCGGGAGCCAGTCGTTTTCCGCAGGTCACAATAACATTATTTTCAATTTCATTTCTCTTTCAGAAAACTAAAAACGAGGAGTTAAACCAGAAGTGCAATTGTTTTTTTTATTTACGTTTGTTAATGGTCTCAAATTAAGTAATCATGGTCCAATGGTTGCGAAATGGTAAAAATGGCTTTCTTATCACTTATACTTACTATAGTGCACAATATATGAGCCAAAGCCTTAATCAGTCGTCTGGAAGTCTTCGAAATAACTTCGTCACTTCGTCCCCCCCCCCCCACAAAAAAAAAGGCGGTTACCCGCTTCAGCATGCCTACCTTGGCGTATTTGTACCTTCCCTCAGGCGTCCTCTTCTTTCAAAGTTCCAGCTCCGAGAAAATGCCACAATAGCGGTGTCGGTCACAGTGCGATCACTACCAGAAGAAGCATTAGTCTTGGCTCCATTTAGTCTTGGTCGGGGAAATTTTGTGTGATGGTGCCAATTGACACGGCCAGAGGCCGTAGCGGTTAAAAGAAGTTCCAATAACGCTCCTACCAAACATGGCCCCGTACTTCATGACGCTCCACTTTCCAAGGGAACAAACATGAAAAGTTCAAAGTGCGTACAATATATTCAGAAATATATTCGCTCGAATAATCGGTAAAATGCCATTATTCAGTAGTCTTAGTTCATGTAGCGTATATACAGCGCATCATCTGACAATACTGATTTTCCAAGACGTACACACTTTGAAGAAATGATTTCTTTGTGATCTATTAGCTTTGTGATCAACGCGTTTTCTTATGCTCTCGACCATATGAAATGCGGAATATCGAAACCATTAATTCATGTACTTTCGACTGTGAATCTTCAAAGCTGACTCGAAGGACACAAGTACGATCACAGCTGGGGCGGTTGCTTTTCGGTGGAGGTGAAATGGTAGAGGACCTTGTTCTCTATGATATCAGAGCACATTAAAAAACACCAATTCGACATTTTTTCTAACTATATCGTGGTTTCGGGACGAAAGACCCCATTTATATTGTCACGCAGCAAAGGACGACGCAGTTTTCTATAAGGGAAACAAGTTTATTGGAGCGAACCTGTGCTCCCCTAACAACTGAAAGAATATACAGGCGGCGAAGCAGCGGCCGGCAAAAACGACGTGCACGCTAGTGAGCGTCGGCGATCGAATGACGTGGCATCGGCTGTGCGGGAATTTATATCCCTCGGCGCGAGGTTTTCTCGAATAGTCGAATTGTATCGAGAACGCTGTTCGTTCGAACAGCGTTTCTAACAAACAACGCTTGAAGTGTTGTTTCTATCGAACAACGTCTGAAGCGTTGTTCGATAGCGTTTGTTCGAAACGCTGGAAAACGGCGATAGCACAGGCCGGCGCAGCCAGGCCGAAAAAACAAAACAAAAATAAACAAACCCAATGCATGGTTCGCGGCAATATCATCATCATACACCGCCTCACTACGCCCACTGCAGGAGGCCTATGTTCCGCCAATCAACTCAGTCCTGTAATTGCTGGTGCCAGTTTATACCCGCAAACATCTTAATCTCATCTGCCCACCTAACTTTCTGTCTCCCCCTAACCCGCTTGCCTTCTCTGGGAATCCAGTCAGTTACCCATTATGACCAGCGGTTATCCTGTCTACGCGCCACGTGCCCGGTCCATGTCCATTTCCTCTTCTTGATTTCAGCTATGATATCCTTAACCCACGTTTTTTCCCTAATCCCCTCTGCTCTCTTCTTGTCTTTTAAGGTTACACCTATCATTTTCCTTTCCATCGCTCACTACGTCGTCCTCAATTTAAGCTGAACCCTCTTCGCAAGCCTCCAGGTTTCTGCTCCATGGATCATCATCATCATCATCATCAGCCTGACTACGTACACTGCAGGACAAAGGCCTCTCCCATGTTTCACCAGTTAACCCGGTCCTGTGCTTGCCGCTGCCAATTTATACCCGCAAACTTCTTAATCTCATCTGCCCACCTAATCTTCTGTCTCCCCCTAACTCGCTTCCCTTCTCTGGGAATCCAGTCAGTTACCCTTAATGACCAGCGGTTATCCTGTCTACGCGCTACATGCCCTGCCCATGTCCAATTCTTCTTGATTTCAGCTATGATATCCTTAACCCCCGTTTGTTCCCTAATCCACTCTGCTCTCTTCTTGTCTCTTAAGGTTACACCTACCAATTTTTTTGATTACTCGCTGCGTCATCCTCAATTTAAGCTGAACCCTCTTTGTAAGTCTCCAGGTTTCTGCTCCGTAGCTAAGTACCGGCAAGATACAGCTGTTATATACCTTCCTCTTGAGGGATAGTGGCAATCTACCTGTCATAATTTGAGAGTGCTTGCCGAATGTGCTCCACCCCATTCTTATTCTTCTAGTTACTTCAATCTCGTGGTTCGGCTCTGCGGTTATTACCTGCCCTAAGTAAACATAGTGTTACGTGCGTCCCGCGAAAAAGACGAAGGCGACAGCGCATATGCGCATCTGCACGCTTTTATGCAGAACGCAACAACGAGAAAGATGAGGAACTCTCTCTCACGCGGTTAACAAAAAGACCGACCGGCTGCTGCTTTCTCAGCGTCTTCGAGTACGACCTCTCTCTTGACGTCGCGACACTGGTGGAGGTGCTGGGGCCTGCAACCTGATGCAAGAAAGCGTTGTTCGGGACCGTACACCCAGCCCGGAGCCTCAACGTCTTGTTGCGACTCCAGTACACCGATTCAGCCGGCGCCTATTAGGCCTAAGCCCAGAACTCTTGACGGCATCTCCTGTTACCAACATGGCGGCCCCTTCAGCGTCTGCGAATCTTCCCCCGGCCCCGGCCAAGACGACTCACCCTTACCAGGTAACTTTTGAGACTCCTCGTGTTCCCGAAGTCTTCCGTGGAGAACCGTATGAAGATGTCGAGGACTGGCTCGACCAGTTCGAGCGGACCGCTGTGGCGAATCGTTGGAGCGTGCAAGAAAAACTTGGCCGTGCCTACTTCGCAATGGAAAATAGCGCTCGCACATGGTACGAGAACAGGGAGCCTACTTTCCAAACCTGGGACAATTTCCGCCAAAAGCTTCTCGAGACATTCCTGAGTGCGGACCGACGGGATCTCGCACAACAGTTGATCGAAGCCCACATGCAAAAGCCGAACAAAAGCGTGGCCATGTTCGCTGAGGATATGGCCCGCCTATTTCGCCGCGCTGACCTTGACATGCCCGAGGCAAGGAAACTTCGTCATCTGATGCGGGGAGTTAAGGAACCGCTTTTCGCCGGCCTTGTACGAAATCCGCCAAACAACAGTGGATGAATTCATCAAAGAGGCGACTGTCATTGAGCGGGCGCTCCGGCAACGATGCCGCCACTTTGACCGCCTGCCCGACCAAACGCCTGTTGGTGCCGCCGCTCAAGACGCTGCCGTTTCTGAAAACTCTTTACGGCAAATGATTCGACAAATCCTGCGGGAAGAGCTGCGGGCCCTCGGCCTTCCGTCTACCGATCCCCCAGTTGCTTCTGTTGCAGAAATCGTGCGCCAGGAACTACGGCAAGCCTTTCCATCGCCGGCGCCACCACCCGAACCACGTCCACTGACCTATGTTGATGCTGTCCGCCGTCATCCACCTGCCCCAGAAGAAGCACCCTTTCAGCCGCGGCCCGTTACCTTGCCGTGGTGGCAGCGTGAACCTGTGCGGCGACCACCAGTACGTCGGACCGACTTGTGGCGCACTGCCGACCGTCGACCCCTTTGTTTCCACTGCGGCGAACCAGGCCACATCTCGCGCTACTGCCGTCATCGAGAAACCCGGTTTGGAAACTTTTCTCGGCCCGCTTCTTTTTATTCTGAAGACCCTCGTGACCATGGTGCTGAGCACCTACCGACCAACCAAGCGTCTTCATCAAGTCGTCGCTGGCGGTCTCCCTCACCTGCACGAGGTCAGAATTCCCCGAATCGCCAAAGATACGCGGATGCCACCAGAAACCGCTCCCCAAGCCCGTGCCAGGGAAACTAACTGCCGCGACCTCCGGGGGCAAGGTTGCCAATTGCCGAGACGCCAAAAAGACCCCCTTGCCTCTACACAAAGACGACGTGACGACGGTGATGACGAAGACGACAACAACCACGAGTACTACTGCCAATGAATTTGTACGTGCCGACCTCAGCGTTATTATAGACGGACACCACGTAACAGCATTGGTTGACACTGGTGCTGACTTCTCTATTATGCGACAAGAGCTCGCCGACCGCCTTAAGAAGGTTAAGACGCCGTGGAGTGGGCCGAGTATAAGAAGTGCTGGTGGGCAGCTAATGACGCCAACTGGTAAATGCACCGCTCGGCTCGTAATCGATAATTCGAACTTCGTCGCCACTTTTGTCATTTTACCGGACTGTTGTAAAGAGTTGATTTTGGGTATGGATTTTCTGCGAGAGTACGGTGCTATCATCAACATCCCAGAACGTATCGTCACCTTTTCCACCCATCCTTACGTCGACGCCACCACTGAAGAACAAC